TGCCCCCACGGCCCTTCATTACCCTGGGCTCTCTGCCCCACCCCAGCCCCACTGGATGGAAGGAGGAACAGCGCCCACGCAGAGGCACAGAAGGTACCCAGAGTACCCCTGTCTGACAAGGTCCTTAAGCATCCTTTGTGCTGAGGACCCCCAGGACTTGACCTGGTCATCCTCCCTTTTGCCTCCAACACCTCAGGGTGGGCGGGTGCCCTGGAGACATCTGCTCCCCGGGCACCCCACCTGCCCTGCAGGAAGCCATTTGGGAAAATCCCCCAGAGGTGAGGCCCCTGCCTCCGGCCTGGCTTGTCTCTCTTGGAGGCCCAGGGCTGAGGGACACTGCTGAAGGAACAGCAGCCCTGCCTGGAGTGCAGGACACAGGCCTCCAGTGACAGCACCTGCTCATTAATCTAAGGCTTTCCTTCTGGAGCCTGCCCTGGCTTGGGACGGGAGGAGGTAAAGGCAAACGGGATCTGTTCCTCCCTTCCTGGCCCTGAGGAACGAGGTGTTGACAAGTGCAGGCAGATAGAGACAGGCCTGCTCAGCCATCAAAAAGGCCTGTGTAAAACACCCTTCACATGCGGCACAAGGAGGTGGGGAATGTGTGGAAGAATCTGAAGATCTAGAAAAATTTGGCAGTGAAACGGAATTTTTCCCACATGCTAGAACCCTAGACTTTGTTTCTGAAACTCCGTTCTTCGGGAAAGCCTGTGCAGCATTAGTTTAGGACTTCTCTGTGTCATGGCCTTTCTAAGCATATCTCCAAGTGATTTTTTTAAAACCATGCGGCAGGAGTGTGTTGATATAGGCAACCATTCCAGCTGGCCCTAACTCACCAAAATGGTGACGATGAGGCAAGTTGCTTTTGAGGCTATACGTATACATTCATTTTGAAAAACAAAAGAGCTTCAAGTGAAAGATTTTATCAAGAAATTATAGGGACACCATCGGGTCTGATGTGCACACTACAACCCTGAGAGCCACGATTCAAAGGCAGGGACGCCTGCAGTGACAGCGCCCCTGCTGCCTCTGACTAAATTACGGACACATCACATTCGGGACTTGAGCAGCAATGGGCCTTTGTGGACAGCGAAGGGATGACAGAGGCGTGCGAGGAGGGAAAGTCGCACTCCAGCCCAGGCTGCCCCCAGTTTCCTGTGTGGCTTTGCTGAGTCACTTAACCTCTGGGCTGCAGTTTTCTCGCCTGTAAAAGAAGGGGTGGGGCTGATGATTCTAGAATCCCTCTCAGCTCTGTGATTCACCATATTCCAAGTAAGGGTGGCCAGAGCACAGAACCCCTGCAGATGTTTAGTCATTCATTCAACAAAGCTAGCCTGAGCATCCGCTAGGTGCCCAGCGCCACGCTGGGATTCCCGCCCCCGGACAGCTCACAGCCTACTAGGATTAGCAGAGAGGTGATTCCACTGGGAGGAAGAAGGACACAGGGCACACCGCTGGCCCAGGAGCACAGGCTTCTGCATACTTGCCCCCCGCCCCCAACAGGCAGCTGAGCTTTGCAGGGTTTCCTCACCAGGCTGGCAGACTCCCTCCCCCTGCCCACCCTCGCCCCTGCCACCCTTTCTACAATCTGTGAAAGAAAGGGATCTAAATTTGCCGGTATTTTCACCAAATCGAGGTCATGCAACATGATAGAGCAGAGGGATGAGTCCGTTTGTGCAGGCCATCTGTTTTCAGAAGTCCGTGAAGACAGGAAGAACGAAAGAATAAACAATTACAGATTATCATGCTCAGGAATTTAAAATGATTAGAAAAAGTGCCAAAGATGCCGTGGTGACCAATGGCTGGTTTTGGGCCTCAGACACCCTTTCCTTTAGCACCAGCACCCTAATCTTCACCACATCGTGTCTGAGAACAGAAGCACTATGCCCAGGCTACCGTCCCCTCTACCAAAGCCAGAGGTGGACACGTGACCTGAGCCCACCAACCAGATGATGCTCCCTGCCCTTGGACTAGGTGTGGATGTGCAGGACGGGGAGGGCGGGGCTGGAGCACTGCCTGTCCAGCCAGTCCTGACGCCTGGAGACCTCAGGGTTGCACTGGCTTCTGTCCTGAACTTGATGCTCCAGACTTCTCATCGGTGCCAAGAATTAGTTACCTGATGGCCATCAAAAAAAATTTCTTTCCTGCTCAGGATGGAGCATGGGTGGGTTTCACGACTGGTAGTTGGAGGACCTAATTGAAGTTGTTATGATTAATGCCATGTGGTCTAATACTTAGCAGTTCAATAAAAATGTCTATGTGTACAGCTTGAGACCTTTGCACAGGAGGTGACTGGGGTCATGGTTTTGAAAGATTAACCTGCCACCAGTTGGTAAGTGGGTAAGAATGAGCAACAAGCAACACAGTCCTGACAGCTGAAAGCTGAGAAGAAAATTCATGTTTATTGAGCTCTCTGGATGGTCAGTCCCTGTGTCAGGAGATTTGTTCATTTAATTCCTATAATCCTGGAAGGCAGGCAAGGTCACCCCCGTTTTATGGATGAGGAAATTGAGTTCAGTTGGTTAAAAAACATGCTGAAGATCACTTGGCTGATGAACAGCAGAGCTGGGACTTGAAGTCAGAGCCTGGGCTTTTAACCAAATACCACATTGCTTCACCATCGAAGAAAATTTATGAAAGAGATTTCAAAGACAATGAGTAGCCTAGTGCCACCTTGGATGTAAGGGGCTGAGGAGAGGGATGAGTCAGAGCAGTTTCCATCTGTGGGCAACAGTGGGCACTGGGAGCAGGCGCTGGCCAGTCAGGGTGGCACCTGCAGTGGGGCAGCAGGGCATGGGGCTCCAGGGTGAGTATTGCCAGGTTGACGGTCAAAGCCACGAAGATGATAGTGTTTCAGCCAAGTGTGGGTAAGGGTAGGGAGAGATGGGCAGGGAGCCAAAACTTGTGCGCCTCGCAGCTACATACTGGGAGAGGTAAAGGTGCCCGTGAAGGAGGAGGGGAGGCTCGGAGAGCGGGCGGGGTCGCGGGGGGGCCCCTATGGAAGGTCGGGCTCCCCCCGGAACGCTCGGGGAGGGCCGATGGGCGCATGCGCAAAAGAGCTCAAGCTACCTTACCTGCAAATGCCCGCGTTTGGGACCGGGGACGACGATACCTAGGGGGCGGGTTGAGTGGTTGCCTTCTGGTGCCTGCAAACCCAGGACGCTAGCGTTCACGCTGCCCAGCACCCACTGTGCGCTGCTCACATTTAAACCAGCTGAGACCCGGAAAGGGACCTCAGCCCAGCTGTGGTCAGGGCCGGCCAGGTCTGAATCCCGCAGCTCTGCGGGGGTGGGGAGCCTGGGAGGTCTGGCTTCTGGGGGGCTGGGGGCGGCTCTCGCTGATCCCGGCAGGCAGCTCTTCCTCTCCCTCCCCCTCAGTAAAGGAAGGCAGGGAAAACGTGTTTTTATAAATAGATCCAGCCCCAGCTGATTTGTAAATTCAGTGGGTTTTTTTGTGTCAATGACATCACCCTCCTCCCCATGGCAACCCTCGACGATATCAAAATTGCCAAGCAACGTTGGAGCAGGTCGCTGCCTCAGGATTTAATGGAGAAATCCCAAAGTGAGCCGGGGTGCGCGGTGGAGGAGGGGCGCGCCGCGGCGGGGAAGGAGGCTGGAGCCGCCGGCGCCGCCTGCCAGGCAGCCCTGGGCCAGCTGGGGCTCCTCGGGCCACGGTCCCTTTGGTAGCCCTGCTGTGGACCGCAGGTGGGGGAGGGCTCTGCTCCCTGCCTGATATTCCAGGAGCCGGGAGCAGTCATCTAGGTGACTAAGCTGGCCCACTGGCACTGAGTCACCCGCTGGCTTGAAGGTTCCTTTCTTCCCTTTTGCATCTGATTATTTTGGGAACTGGAAACTTGGAGCTGCACCTGAGTCCCACTCCTGCTAGCCTCCCCTCCCTACCTTGGGCACTGAGGAAGATGGGACCTGCTGAGAGTCTGCCGCCACTTCCTAAGGACGTGGAAGACGCTGCGGGGGCCCGAGGTGCCAGGGGAGAGATGCCCGCCAACAAAGTGCAATAGCAGATATGGTGATCAGGCTGCTGTGTCCTCTAGAGGTGTCGGGAGAGAAGGGGAGTCTGGCCCCTGCCGACTGGAGTCCTCCTGGACTGGCTTTGAACTCACCTCCCATGAGATATTTCTGTAAATGAATGTCTTCCAGGGTCAGAGTGGCATTTGGAGAGTGAGGCTGGATTGGCTTAGGCTGGCCTGGGCAGGTAGGTGGCTCCGCGCTGGGTGTGGCTCCACGTGTGTGGGAGTGTGTGTCCTGCCAGTGCTGAGGACAGCAGGGGGCATCCGCAGAGCGCTGGGGATGGGGAATTTGGCAGCTGCTCATCCCAACTGAAGCGGGACCAGCCCAGGTTCTGAGATGGGTGCTGTGGAAAAGGGAACTGAGCACCTGGCCTGAGCAGGCTGCCGAGCAGCTCCAGCTCAGACAAGCCTGGGCCTCTGAGTCCAGGGCACAGACACGGGGCAGAATGCCGAGGCAGGGAGTGGTCCAGGGAGGCAGGCCAAGGATGGAAGCCAACCCGCCAGTGGGCTGGGCAGCACGTGGGCTGCTCCCTCTTCTGACAGCCCTGGGCACTAAGGAGACAGCTTTCTACCAAGGAATTCTGTCACTCGCCCATGCAGGCCAGTCGGCATCTATGTGTGCTCTCTGCCAAGCTCACAGGGGTGCATTTCCTAAGAGTGCTGGCCAGGGCACAGCTTCCCTGTACTCAGGACCCAGCCGGGGGCCACTGTGTGGCCTGGCTCTCGGGCCGGAGCCCCTGGCCCCCACAGGGCATGCTCCGGTGTGTGTCAGGCGGAGGGGCGTGGGCCCCCTACCTCCCCCACACAGCTGGCAGTTTCATGGGCACACCGGTGAGTAAGCTGCCGAGGGAGGAGGCTGTGTGCCCACAGAGGCAGGACGACACCAACCAGGAGCCTTTGGGAGAAGCGGCTGAGCGAGAAAAACACTGAGGTTTTCTTTTTCTTTCTTTCTTTTTTTTTTCCTTTTTGCCTGAAGGGAGTGGCGCTTCCTGGGCTAGAGACAAGCACCAGCCTGCAGTGGGGAGCTCGAGGCCCAGCTGCCTGGAGGAGCAGCCACGGTAAGGTCCCTGCTACCGACGTGGACAAGGGCTCAGGCTTCCCAGGCCAGGGTGGAGTGCAGAGGTGTCCAGGCTACTTGCTATCTGGGACAGGGGCACAGCTCTGGATTCCTGTGGACCTCGTCCAAGCTGCCACTCCCTTTCCAGATCGGTTTTGAAACAGCCCAGTCCAACCTGGCCTCTGGTTTCCTTATTTCTGCTATTCCTGTACCTCCCTCTCCTGCTGGGCCTAGGCAGTGCCACCGGACACCTCTCCTGGATGTCTTCCTGCCCTGCCACCTCTGGGACACTCCCCTCTTGTATTCATCCCACAAATATTTATAGTGTTGCTGGGACCCAGGCTCCATGCCATGCCCTTATGTAGAGCTTGACCTGGCACAGATTTTGACCCTGAAACTCGGTGGCAGGCAAGGTCCAGGGGATGCCTGGCCGAGCACCACCCCTCCTCACAGGCCTGGGGCTCCCCATTACTGCAGCAGGGTGAGCGACCTGGTTTGCTCCGGGGATGTCAGGCCTAGTGAGCTTGGGGTGGTAAAGCACTGGGGCCCCACCAAGAAGCAAGGCTAATGCAGTGTAGTGTGTTCTTTTTCTGGTGCCGTACACCAAGCTTGGAGTGTTCTGCTTGGGTTCTTTTCCTAACCTGATTCTGGGAGGAACCAGGTTCTAAGTGTTGAGGATGAGCTCTCTGGGCTGCCTGGCCCTTGGGCTCCACGGAAGCTCATCCAGCTGGGAATGAGGCCTTTGGGCCAAGCAAGGGGTCCCGCTGTAGATCAGGAGTGGCAAACCTGGGAATCCTAGTGCCTAATCAGGAGCGGCCGGGCACCGGGAGCAAGGCTTTTGGAAGCACTTGCTATGAGGGAAGATTTGTGCCCCTGTGAGTTGCCACAAGGTGGGAGTGTGGGGGCTGCATGGACCTTCTGGTCCCCCAAGAGCTGACTGATTCTTTGTGAGCTGAGCTTTCTACGATGTGCCAGGCATAGGGAAGGTGCGGGCAGGGGAGCTGGCAGTTTCATGGGACCAGAGTCAGGACGAACCTCTGAGTGTCTCCCACTCAACTAACCCCGACCCCTGGCTCCAGGGTGAAGAAATCCTGCCTCCCCCCAAAAGGTGACTCCAAGCCTGGGGGTCCCCCGTGTGTGCAGAGCTGAGCAGCAGTTGGTGTCCAGCCAGGTTCAGAGTGGCAGAGGGTATGGAGTGCCAAACAGCAGGCAAGCAGGGTGGCAGCTGATGGAGCCTGGAGGAAGCAGAGGGTAGAGGCCAGGTACAGGGGGCAAGAGAGGGAAAGCCTGCCTGAAGTTTTAAGATGGCTCAGGGAGGGCTCGGGCCACCGATTTTCTTATTCCTGCCCACCTCTGTCGGATGGCCGGGCAGGGAGTAGGCGGAAACACTGAGACTACATTCCTTACACACATGGCCCCAGAGACAACTCTAGCACACCGTCTTGGTTGTAGAAGGCCAGAAGGACTCGTGGAAAGCTGGCCTGTGGCCTAAAGCAGAGTCTTCCTCGTAGGATGCCCATGAGTGGGAAGGTCCAGGACTCAGGAGCAGCTCCTGAGACTGGGACAGTAGGGAGGGTGCTGGCAAACCTCATCCACAGGCTTTCTGCAGCCTGCCCCCATGAGGGCTTCGAGAAGAGAGTTCACTTCCGTGCGCCTGCCTTGGGGGAAAGGAGCGGGCTAGCTGACAGGCGGGGACAGAGCATGGGAAGGTGAAAACTCGGAGGCAGAAAGAACTCTGAACCTCCTGAGGCCCAGCTGGCCCTCCTGCCCGGGCTGGGCACACCCATGGGAAGCCCCCTTCTGAGCTCAGGCCTAGGGCCCATTAAGAACTAAGGTGAGATGGGCGGGGTGTGAGATAAAGGGAAATTTGTCTTGTCTTGGCAAGATGCGGGCTGTAGGCAGCACTTGGGAGATGACCATTGGCACCTCGTTCTGGCTCGCTTGCAGGCAGGGTACAGCTGTTGCCTGACTCCTAAGTACAAACCACTGGTGGCAGAGACAGAGGGTCAGGGAAGTGCCAGGAAATGAGCAAGACACAGCCCTTGCCCCGGGGAGCTGACAGTCCTCCAGCAGAGCAGGGAAAGGAAACCGAGCATGGGGACAATGCCACCAGAAGCCAGCTGAGCTGCAGAGCCTTGATCAGCAACGGGGGGGGGGGGGCGCGGGAGTCGCCTTCTGCTCGCTCTGGGTCCCCTATTCATCACTGAAAATGTCAGTCATGACCCATTCAGCCCAGATAATTTATAAATTTAGACCAATACCAGGAGATGGTTCTTAACATAGAAATATATGAAGATCGATTAAAAAAAGAAAGATTAGCCAAGATATAAACACAAAGGAAGAAGCAGCGCCTACAGTTACGGGCAGAAGACAGGTTCTCAGGACCAGGAAGAGGCAGAAAGGCGACGGTTAACAGCAGGAGTCAGCAGCTGAGTATCAGGCCCAGGGCAGCCGGTTCCTGCCAGGTGACCTCGGATGAATTACCTCATCTCGCCCGGTCTTAATTTCCTCTCCTGCCCAACGGAGGTAATTATAGGACCTCTGAGATGGGGCTGTTGAAAGGATTAAATAAGGCCATATGCGAACACTCAGCAGCATGGCTGGCACAGAAGCGCTCAGCAATAATGTTAGCATTGTGATGATTATTAGTGTTAGAGAAACAAAGTGCCAGCGGGGAGAGACTTCACTGGTATCTTCCGGGGAATCAGAACAGGCTTCATGGAAGAGGTGGCTTTGGAAGAACTCCTCCCTGAAGAAAAGCTGAAGCACTCGGAATGCTGATAGATCCATGCCCGATAATGCTGGAAGAAACGCAATACTAGATCCATTTTTTTTTCCCAAAGAGCAAATTGTTTATCCCCTAAAGTTCTCTAAGGAATGATTTGAACCTATTAAGAGTTTCCTTCTTCTTCTGGGGGTGTAGAGTTTGAAAGTCCATGTCTCGAGAGCTTGACATGGACTGTAGGTAACGAAGGAATCAAGTGGCCTGGTCTGACTCTGGTCACATTCTTTTTGGGCCTGGAATCTTGTCACAGGGTGGCCCCGTTTCCTTGAAGAACTATGTCCCAATGAGCCCCGTCTACAGCACGCACTTAGAAGTGGTACATCGTGCAGAAGGGCCAGGCTGGAGACCATAGCGACCTCCTTGGCTGCTACGGCAGGTGATTTAGAAATGCCCAAGGTCCATAAGGCTCAGGTGCACAAACATTTTTCTTTTCCTACCAAAGGGTTATTGTTCTATGAATTTAGGAAAGATCATCCCAGGCTCTCTTTCCCTTAAAGAACAAGGCAAACCCAGAACATGAAAGACTTTCATATGCTTGAGGAATTAGCGTGCAAAAAAGGGGGGGCCCTCATAACTCCATGGGGCCACATCGGCCCCAGCAAAGGGACCCCCATTCCAGCCAGCATTTTCTATAAAACCTCATTATGACACATCAGGCAGTGCAAAGACTCACATCCTTACAGGGAAGACAATGATGATGTTGTTTGTACACCTATGGGTTCTCTGTGGCCAAACTTCCCCCTGATTGCTGCATTGTCAGCAAATGCTGGCATCTTCCTGCTTGGCCCTGGTTTGCCCAAGCCTCAAAGCACTCAGGCTCCTGGGCCCTGGCTAAGGGGGTGGAGGCAGGGCTGTGTTCTGTCCACTCAGGCTGCCCAGGACCGGAGCGGCGGCCTCAGGGTGCTCAGAAAAGCAGGTCCAGAAAGTTCAGGTCAGCTGAGGCATTGTTCTGGTCTCCGATCCCTGTGTGGCAGCTCACGCCAAGGCAAATAGCGAGGAAACCAGTCACCTTGCTCAAGGCCCTCTGCTGCCTGCCTGTCCACCCCAGCTCCTGAAGGCTGCAGCTAAAACAGGGTTAAAACTGGAAGGACTGGTTCTCTGGTTCAGCTTCCTGGCCTGGAGCCTCCAGTCTCCATTTTCTTTGTTTCAGCTTCAAATGAGGCTTCAAGTGGAATTATGCAAAAAGGCACCTAGGGTGGAGGAAGCCAGGGGACATGTTGGCCACAGCCTCCCTGGATGGCCAGAGCACGGTCCCGGCTCAGTGAGGAGACGCGCAGAGGGGGAAGAAGCTGGCTGCCTTGGATTGCCATAGCCCATTCAAGCCAAAGGGAGTCCCTAAGAATGTTTAATCCAGCCCCCATAATTTTAGAGAGGGAAGAAGAGGCCCAGAGAAGGCAAATGGTTCCTGAGGTCACAGAGCTAACTGGCAGCAGAGCAGGTTTCAAAAGGCCTGTGGCTTCGTGCTCCCAGCCCAGTGCTCTCCCCGCCCAGGCTGCCTTGCTATAGGCAGCAGCTCCAGAGGCACCTGGAGTGGGGCGGACGCTCGCTGCCCACTAGTTGCCTGGTGACTTGATAGACTGAGAGAAGGGGCCTGGCCTGACAAAGGAGGACACACAGGTCCCAGCACTCCTCCGTGCCTCTTGCCCTCATGGTCCTGGTCCTGCTACCCGCACCCCCACCCATCTTGCTCCTCATAGAAGGCCAGCATAGCTCCTGCTCACTCAGCAGAGCCCCCCAAGAAGAGGCTCTGCCCATACCACCCAGGCCACTCTCTGAGTGTAAATGAATTGACTCAAGTTCCACTTGTCCCAGGAAGCAGTTTACATTTTAACCAGAAGGCCGTTGATGTCCTAAGCCAAAGGGGGTAATGACAAGAGTGTGTGGGAATGAAAGAGAAACTCGGGGGCAGAAGTTAGCGGGGCATACGGGAGGCCCTTTACCTCGGGTGGGTTTTTCAAGGGTATATATATATATATATGTACTCGGACCCCTGGCAGGAATTTAGATGTCCAGTGACCATCAGAGGTCAGATCTCAGAAGCAGGAGGCCTGTCATCTGTCACCCTGTCACCGGGCCCAAGCTGGACAAGAAGGCTTCAGTATTATACTGTAGTGGGTCTTGCTGGAGATGGTGTATCTGGGATCGAGAAAGGTGGAGAAAGGTGGAGGCCTCAGACCCTGGCACAGGCTGGAGCCAACCCCAGGGGCAAGAATGTG